ATCCCCAAAACAGCAGCCATAGGTAGAGCATAGCAAAACAACAGAGCATTGGCATAACCAGAAGTAGATGTTGCTACTGAGGTTGCATTGACCATAACTAATGATTAATACTCTTAACTATATGAATACTGATTTGCCATGCATTTGATCAATCCTAGCATCTTCACCAACTAAATTAACTCTCAACAGCAACAACATACACACACTAGCCTACCTTCACCAGCATTGCAAATTGACGCTGAGAAACAAAACAGAACAAGATCTCTACTCTCAGCAATTAGATCTATGGCATGCAAATTCTCTTCAGCTTGCTTCAGTTTAGAATCCATATTCCCAAACACTTCAGAGTTCCACTGCCGTAGAGATTGTTTAAGTGCCTGCAACTTAATCTTCAATCTGTATCCTGCCCAGCCATCCACCTGAGTACCCTCCCACACTTCTTTCACCTGATTTAGAAAAGAGGGATGAGATGCCCAAGCATTTATGAATCTAAAAGGCTTTGGGCCCCAATTTTTGTCATCTTCCATTAGAATAATTGGGCAATGATTTGAGATGCATCTAGCAAGACCCCAAAGTTTGAACCTAAACTAGACCAACCATTCTGGCCCAACAAGAAACCTATCCAACCTGCTCCATCTCTCACCTTCCAAAGAATTACACCAAGTAAATTTCCTTCCCAACATAGGGAAGTCAATCAATTCTAGACAACTTATGAAATTACAAAGATTTGCCATTCCCCTATCCCTTCTTACACAACCCTTCCTTTCATCTATTGATTTGATTTCATTAAAGTCCCCCCCTATACACCACGGTTTGGGGAAAACAGCCTTAAGATTGATCAAAGAGACCCATAAGCTTCTCCTAGCACTCACATCATTAGGGGCATGCACATTCACAATCACACAGTCCAAGCTATTAAATAAGGTACCTGATAGTATGATGAAGCTCCTATTGCAACAGCAGTCAACTAGAGAGAAGATTTCAGGCTTCCACATACATAACAGGCCTCCAGCACTCCCATCAGCATCCACATTCATGTAAGCAACTTGGTCATAAGGCCAGATAGACTTCACACACCGATCTGAAATGTTTGCCCTTTTTGTTTCTTGCAACATCACCATATCCACTTTTCTTTCTTTGATAACTGCTTTGATTCTCCTCTTCTTCTCAGGCCTACCAAGCCCTCTAATATTCCAAGAAAGAAGCTTCATAAGAACTTACTATTCACTCTTGAGCAGCCCTTGATGCTGATCTAAACCCCTGCACTATCACTCCTATCAACAATCTATTCCATGTCATTCTCCTCCATTTCAATTATTTTCCTCAGAACTTCATCATCTTTGTTTCCCTAAAGTAGAACAAGAATTGAGTGGAGTGACAAGTGAGAGATATCTCCTGCTGTATTCCTCAAAATTTGGGCAAAACAAACTTGAGTGTGTCGTATACCTCCTTTTTGAGAGAGTTCGAGTTTACATATTATTTGGAGAGTTTAGCCACTAGTGAGTGGAGTGGAGAGCATACTCTCAAGAAATACTGTGAACCCATTCTTTTGATATAGCGGAGATTATATGTGCACCGCGGTTTTTCTACTCTACATAGGAGGTTTTTCACATAAATCTGGGTGTCCCTTACGGCTGTCTATTTTCTCTGTCTTGGTAAATTAATTTATTTTTGTATATTTTAATTTACACTTGACAGTGGTTGGGAGTGTATTGCCCCAACAGAATGGTGTCTGAAATTTTGGTGTTGCTAATAATTTAGCTTTCAATTTAGCTTATAATGTGACAACTAAAAGAATTTTGGACTTCAAAATTGAGAATTTTTTAATTTTTTGTCTTCTGAATAGATTATGTTGAAATTCCTGAATCATACAAAAGGCAATTGTCTCATCATCAACAGAACCTACAAGCATGAGAGGGAGCAAGTTTGAGATGGGGACCAAGTTCATATATTTTTTTTTTTGATCGGCAAAAAAGACCTTTATTGATGGAATAAACAAGTACAAAGTACAAAGTACAAAGCGAATTACATCAATAACGAAAAGGGAGGTGCAAAAGTATCCCAACGGGCTAAATCATCCTAACGAGGTTGGCACAATTTAGCTCATCCAATCATTTGATAGCATCTCCAAAGTTGGAGAGAGACCAACGAGAAGAGAGACCACCCAACACGACAACAACAGCACAGACCGACACAAAACATTCATCAAAGACAGACAAACAGCACAAACAGCCATTCATCAAAGACAGACCAACCAGCACAAAATCCCCAAAACAGCAACCAGAGGCAGAGCATAGCCAAACAATAGAGCATTGGCATAACCAGAAGCAGATGTTGTTACTGAGGTTGCATTGACCATAACTAATGATTAATACTCTTAACTATATGAATACTGATTTGCCATGCATTTGATCAATCCTAGCATCTTCACCAACTAAATTAACTCTCAACAGCAACAACATACACACACTAGCCTACCTTCACCAGCATTGCAAATTGACGCTGAGAAACAAAACAGAACAAGATCTCTACTCTCAGCAATTAGATCTATGGCATGCAAATTCTCTTCAGCTTGCTTCAGTTTAGAATCCATATTCCCAAACACTTCAGAGTTCCACTGCCGTAGAGATTGTTTAAGTGCCTGCAACTTAATCTTCAATCTGTATCCTGCCCAGCCATCCACCTGAGTACCCTCCCACACTTCTTTCACCTGATTTAGAAAAGAGGGATGAGATGCCCAAGCATTTATGAATCTAAAAGGCTTTGGGCCCCAATTTTTGTCATCTTCCATTAGAATAATTGGGCAATGATTTGAGATGCATCTAGCAAGACCCCAAAGTTTGAACCTAAACTAGACCAACCATTCTGGCCCAACAAGAAACCTATCCAACCTGCTCCATCTCTCACCTTCCAAAGAATTACACCAAGTAAATTTCCTTCCCAACATAGGGAAGTCAATCAATTCTAGACAACTTATGAAATTACAAAGATTTGCCATTCCCCTATCCCTTCTTACACAACCCTTCCTTTCATCTATTGATTTGATTTCATTAAAGTCCCCCCCTATACACCACGGTTTGGGGAAAACAGCCTTAAGATTGATCAAAGAGACCCATAAGCTTCTCCTAGCACTCACATCATTAGGGGCATGCACATTCACAATCACACAGTCCAAGCTATTAAATAAGGTACCTGATAGTATAATGAAGCTCCTATTGCAACAGCAGTCAACTAGAGAGAAGATTTCAGGCTTCCACATACATAACAGGCCTCCAGCACTCCCATCAGCGTCCACATTCATGTAAGCAACTTGGTCATAAGGCCAGATAGACTTCACACACCGATCTGAAATGTTTGCCCTTTTTGTTTCTTGCAACATCACCATATCCACTTTTCTTTCTTTGATAACTGCTTTGATTATCCTCTTCTTCTCAGGCCTACCAAGCCCTCTGATATTCCAAGAAATAAGCTTCATAAGAATTTACTATCTACTCTTGAGCAGCCCTTGATGGTGATCTAAAGCCCTGCACCATTACTCCTATCAGCAGCCTATTCCATGTCATTCTCCTCCATTTCAATTATTTTCCTCATAACTTCATCATCTTTGCCTTCAAAATCAATGCCCAGACTATGTCCGACTCGAATTGTAGCTTGAGCCTCCTTTAATAGCATATCGTGTTTGCTTGATCTACTAGTCTAAGATAGTGAAGAAGAAATTATAGCTACAGTTGCTCTAAAGATGGCCCCCCTTTGAAACCCCATTTTCATCACTATTTTCCTCTGATTTCTCCGACCCTTTCCTTTACTCTCCTTGCCTTCTAATCTTTTATTAGGTGTAGTATCTTGATTGCTTTGACTATCTCCTTCAACACTGTCAATAGCAATGCCTTTGCCATTCTCCACCTGGGATGAACATGTGTTGGATCCAGATGCTCTACAACTCTGCTACAGCTAGGGCCCAGCCCATTTGACTTAGACTTGTCCCTGTTTTGTTCATTCAGTAGGCCATCAAACTGGGCTTGATCAAAAACTACTTCTAAATTAATGCTGGGTTTTGAAGGCCCATTTCCACTTAAGCTTCTCATAAGCCCATCAGGGCCCAAGCCACCTTCAATTCTTCCACTTTCTGTAGTTACTCTCTGCCCTTTCTTTGTGATTGCTGCCAATAGTCCACCTTAGTCCATATTGACCTCATCATTTTGACTTTTACTAGCAATACACTCAACTGAGGTGTTAGGCATGCTTCCCTTGAGCCTCGTGCACTGACCTTCTTCTACTCTAGGTCCCATAATGCTACAGGTCTCATTTACTACAGAGACGGCAAAAAGGCTAGTATCTACTCCCTCAGGCTCCTCCTTCATTTTGACATTACCACTTGCAACTTGTGGCACACACTTGTCATAGGCCACCCCATCCCCTTGTTGCATCCCATCATTACCCTCTTCCTCCCATCCTCTGCAACAATTTGAAATTTGATCACCGCCAGTGATGCCATGAACAGAAACATCCCTCACCTTGTTGCTATGACCTAGGACATTGACCAATTTAGAACCAAGCTCTTCACTCACTCTGCTTGAGTGGATATGACCTCTACATTCCAGGTTAACTACACTGCTGATCATCTCTAAATGTGATGTAAGAATCCTGAGTTGACCACATGCCATGGATGACAACTTGAGGGTGCCCTCATTAATATTCATGACCTTACCCCAGATTTCCCCAATCTTGATGAAATTAGCCGTGTTCCAAAGAGGAGGTGGCAGACCATAACAGTTCAAATCCATGTATCTTTCTTGCTCAAGTTTTAGTCCCCTCCTCCACTCCACCATCGTTTCACACCATTCGTGGATCCAAGCTTTAAGGTTCTTCATGCCTCTGTTTTTGACCTCTAGTGAAGAAAACGCTAAGTATGCAACTCTCCCATCACCATCCTTCACTTGCACATCAGACATACCTCTGGTATGTAGTTCCTTTTTAAGATCAGAGCAGTGATAGTGAGACTAGAGTTTTTCTATCACACTGCCATACAACCAGCCATTTCCATACTCCACAGCATTCACTGAGATAGATTTCCCATTTGTTACTTTACCCCCCATTACAACTTTTGCATAAGACTTCCCTTTTGTGCTGATTTCTTCCACTCTCATCCATCTTTTTCCTGTTTCCACTGGTGGTAGATGATGAACATCAGCTTGTGGTTTGACTTTGCTTATATTCTTCTTTTTGAAATCAGTTTGCTTAACCTTCAAAGCTCTGCCATCACACCAGGTGTCGTGTGCTTTTTGGATTGCCATTTCAGCTACTACCGGGCAATCATACCGAACAAAGCCGAACCTGGTTCCTGTTGAGTGCCTCCGTTTGCTGGGTATGTAGACATCGATGACTACCCCAAAGTTTGTGAACAAATCGTATAACCCTTTTGGATGCATTGAGTCCGGTAGATTGTCAACAAAAACGTTGTGAACTTCACCCGTTGAATTTGATCTGCCACCAATATGCCTCCTCCGGAAAACTGTTCTCCATCCTCCCAATTTTACCCCACGCTGCTCCATTGATTCGTATAACTGAGTTCATATTTATGTAATTGGGTTAACAGCAATCATACTATACAATTCTACATATACAATTTTATGCAACAGAGCAACAACAAGCATTTTATATCCAATGATCACACTGGGGCAACATCACATAAGTTAATAGTTATTTGTCATCACCAAACCCATAAAGAGCATAAAGAGACAATAAATAATATTTTAAAAAAATACCCGCTTCATAAAAAATTTTAAGATACAAACTCCGTACCTTATGTAGTATAGATTGAATGATCCAGCTGTTGTTGATTGACAATAACTCTAGTGATTGATTCACCTGCAATACGTGTACAAAGCATTATACATACACACATATATTAAACATCACCTTTTAAATTTTTCATAAATTACAGCCACATACATTGGCCTAATTTTCCATTCAGCCATGACCCAAGCATTTGTAATAGTGCATATCATAAAGAAGAGTAAGTAATAACCAACAGCCTTTCATTAGTAAAGAAATACCATACATATTAACTTCTTTAATCTGTGATCAATGAATAACCCAACAAAGTTCAAATACCTTAGGAATTTCCATATCTTGTACATATAATTTGTCCATAGGACCTTCGGCAAATGTATATATATATTCATTTAAAACTCAATATATATATATATTCAAAATAAAATTTAAAAAAAAAAATCAAAACTAAACGAGTATGTAGAGGCAGTCCTTGGTCGAGGTTAAAGGGAATTGGTGGAGGTTTGAGAAAGGGTTTCGCTATTTTTTTTATTTATTTATTAGCAAAATGAAATAATTTTATTAATAAAATTTAATATACAAATAATACTGACACAACTGTCAATAAAGAAACGGCTGATACTATTATCTTGCCTGCTCGAATTCTTTTCCCAATTTAGTTTTGATTGAGTTTCACAAAAAGACAAAGAATAATGTTTAAACTGACTGTTGTGGTTTTCCATGATATGAGGTAAAATAAAGTTATGAAAACTAGGGAGTGAAATGTATTTTTTAATGCTTTATCATAGTTGTACTTTTATAATTTGCTTATTATGTTAGAAAATATGTGTTTCCATCCCTCCAATTTATCTATAAAAAATGACAACAAAACAAAACGCATCCCTTGAGTATAGCTCAATTAAAAATAATTTGTAACATTTAGTAATATTTTTTTGAGACAAATTTTTTAAACTGTTGCTGAAAATTAAAAATTAGTCAGTGTGTTTGGTTTGAGTTTTCTTGATTAAATATTTTGAAAATTGAGTTTTTTTGGTGTTCCTATTTTGTTTTGTTTTTAGTGAATATTTTTAAAATTTTAAATATTTTTTTATTTTTTTAGATGCACCTTACTTAGATGTATCTAAAAAGTAAGAAAATTATGAAAAAATATTTTTAAAAATTAATAAATACATAAAAATATAAAAAAAATGTACTGAATTCTTGTATTTTTGGTATTTAGTGAATTTTAAAAAAAATATATATAATTTTTTTACTTTTTTGGTGTATTTCTATTAGGTGTGTCTAAAAAGTAAAAAAAAAAAAAATTGCTTAAAATATTAAAAAAATTCAGTAAAAACAAAAAAACACGAAAAATAAGAAAGTAGAATTTTCTACAAAGTGTTTTGGAAAAATGGAACCAAGCAAGCTGAGTGACTTTTTTGTAACGATTTTTTTAAACTGTTGCTAAAACTTATAATTAGTAATAATTTTTATGACAACTTTTAATCTGTCGTTGAAATTAACAATTAGTGACCTTTTTTTATAGCATTTAATGTAAAATGCCATTAAATATCGTAGAACCTATTGAACAATAAATTCACGTATTAGGACCTATACGTAAATCTCCTCTAATCTTATTCAAAGATAAGTTAATATAATTATATACCAAAACTTAAAAGATTTATTATATTTTTTACAAATCTAAAAAATGGTCACTATAATTTAATTAATAAAAAATGGATTGGTGCAGTTGAAGAATCATTCATCATGTAAAGGTGGAAGACTGGGTAAAAAAACATTATCATATGCTTTCTATTAAAAAATATGAGACAAATTCATCATTGACTCTTAAACATTATATAATTATATATACCTATGTCAATGCCATGCTAGCTTTTTGTTACCTCATTATAGCTAAATTATTTAATTTTAAATTAATTTTATCATTGTCATCTGTTGTCTTTTATAATCAAACAAAATTTACTAACGTGCCACTAAAACTTTTATTTTATAACCTAACCAATCCCCAAAAATCAATTAGACTCCTCAATATTTTTTTGACTAACTAGTATAATAACATATTGGCTTTTTGTTCTTTTATTATTATTCTTTTTCCTTTTTTTTTTTTTGGCAAAAGATATCATCCATTAATTTTAAATAATTCAGTATATCAATCATTTATCAGTTTTTAATTTTCACTAAGCTTTATTGGGGCCTTTAAAATTCAGAATTTTTTTATGAAATAGTATAATAGCTAAAAAAAAATCAAACTTTTTTTTTTTAACTGCATGAGTTATATTTCGACATCTTTGTCATATATATACAGACACTCTCATGAGAATATCTGTACAAGGGGGGCATTAATGTGGGTATCTATACTATATTGTGGGGATGGAGACGATTTTCTGGCTTTGTGCCAAAGCCACCCTGATGTTGATGTAAGCAGTTAGAAGAAGAAATTAGAAACTAGTGAAGATATTGAAGAACCATTCATATCCTTGAATTCAATGGTGGTTGAGGAAAAAAGTTAGACTTGGTAATTCTTATCTTATTGGCATTGGAAATAATATAATCACAAAATTCAACTACTCTTATCTCTATCTATATCTATAAATAGTCAGGTTTTCCATGCTAGATATCTATCACCTCCTTCAAGCAATTAGGCATATATAGAAATTCCAGTTTGCTTCAAACAAACAAATTTTGTGTTTTTGCTTTCAATTGATAAAAATGGCCACTCACTTCATCCTCGTAGCCATAGCCATTATGGCCTTGGCTTCTACACTTGCCTCTGCTTCTGACCCAAGTCAACTACAGGACTTTTGTGTTGCTGTCAAAGACACCAAATCTGCTGGTATATTTTTTACTCATCTCTATCTCCCAACTTTTTACATTACAAACTCAAGTCTCATGCTTTCAAATATGATTTTAGTGGCAAATTTAATTTAATAAAAAACAAAGCCCAATTAATATTTTTTTTGTCATTTAGTAATCAACATTTAATTGTGGCAATTTCACTTTCAATGGATGACATGTGCATCAAAGTTATCTTCCAAACTCGCTTCATTAGTATTCATTGTAAAAATAAAATAAAATAAAATACAATTTTTGGAACAAAAAATACACATAAGCTAAAAAAGGTTAATTGCACTTTTGCTACCTGAAATATACTCTAACAATTTAATTGTTTAAGTTTGTAAAGGGTCGGTTTTTATTTTCTTAGACTAGATCATCGTAACAATATTGAAATTTTATTATTTTATATAAGATTTTCTTTCTTTCACCCAATCCTCACTGAAGCACAACTTGATTTCATTTGCATACAGCTTTTGTGAATGGCAAGTTCTGCAACGACCCAAAGCTCGCCACAGCCAATGACTTTTTCTACTCTGGCCTCCTCACTCCACAAAACACATCTAATCCAGTTGGATCGACAGTCACTCCTGTAAATGTCATGCAAATACCAGGCCTTAATACTCTTGGCATCTCCTTAGCTCGCATCGACTTTGCACCTTATGGCCTCAACCCACCCCACACACACCCTCGCGGAACTGAGATCCTTGTGGTCTTGGAAGGTACTCTTTATGTCGGCTTCGTGACCTCCAACCCTGACAACCGTCTCTTCACAAAGGTCTTGTACCCAGGAGATGTTTTTGTGTTCCCACAAGGTCTCATTCACTTCCAGTTTAATCAGGGAAAGACTAATGCCGTAGCTCTTGCTGGCTTGAGCAGCCAAAATCCTGGTGTCATTACCATTGCTAACGCAGTGTTTGGGTCAAATCCAAAAATTTCTGATGATGTTCTTGCTAAGGCATTCCAAGTGGACAAGAAAGTGGTAGACCATCTTCAAGCTCAATTCTGGTGGCCCAACAACTAGAGAAATAAACAAAAAGAAAGTACCCACATGAATCTATTGTTTGTTAAACTTTAAATAGATATGATTCAATATAGCATGAATAAGTGTGGGTTGTTTGTGGATGATTTCCTTATAATTGTTTTCCTATATTTTTACAATAACAAAGTTTGCTAAATAATACTTTCTCTCTCTCTCTCTCTCTCTCTCTCTCTCTCTCTCTCTCTCTCTCTCATATAAGAATGCCACGCTCCTGATTTTTCTCTAGTCTCCCATATTCAATAGCTAGAAGACGGCGATGGACTATCAAACTTTGGTTATTGAAATCCTCAAATCAGTCTGACTTGGTTATACTCTTTATGTGGATGATTTTAGAATTTAGAAACAAGGCAAAATATTAAAAAAATAATTCCAACGGGCCATCTAAAATTTTCCAATGAGATATAGCTATTTGCCTTTTTTTTTTTTTTGATAAATTACAAATATATCTCCTGAGATTTGCTTGAAATACAGATTGTCTGCTGCGGTTTGAAAAAAAATTTATTTAACAAAATTAACTAAAAAAATCAAAAGCATAATTGTTCTCCTATATAATAATAAAATTATCAAAATTATTAATTAAAACATATTTTTAACATCATTAAAAACTGTTAAGTAATTTATTAATTTATTAATAAAAGTGGGCGATTTGTTATGAAATTAGAAACCTACGGGGTGAAATGTAATTTTCAGAACAATAAAAAGTAATTTGTATTTTAATCAAATCTCTAAAGGCGTATTTCTAATTTATTTTTATTTTCTTTATTTTTTTTCTTTCCCCTACTTTTTGCTAGCCAAATTTAGCTGGTCAAAATCACTAGCCAAACGTTAAAAAAAAGTTATTTACTCCTCAATTTCCTTCTCCCTCTCTCCTCCTTTATCATCTTTTCATAAAAACTAAAAAAAACATTAGCAAAAAAACAAATCTTCCATAATAACTAGCTAAGTGCATTTGTAATGGGCTCTTCAAAAAGGGTTTGTTGGTTATTGTAGCTACTTTCTGTCCATTTTAATTCCTTCAACAGGATAGCTACTACAATAACTATTTTAACACTTATTCTCCATGCGAGCTGCATTTGAAGAGATTTGAGAGCTTCTTTAAACACTTTGTATGAATGGATAGGCAAAATATGTAGTAATGTTGGAGCACATATAAAAAAAATTAAAAAATTAAAAAAAATAGAAAAATTAACAATATGTCTTTTTTGTATTTTAATTAATGAAAAAATAAAGAGTAGCATTCGAGTTGCTACGTAAAGATTATTATTAGAGTAAATGTTAGTTAAACTGAGTTACTAAGATAAGGATTATTTTTTGTATGTACTATTTAGCTAGTAAAAATAGCTATAGCCTTCTAATAACTATTATTAGTTAAAATTCTTTCTTTTCTTCTAGAAAGAATGCAAACTCAATCACAATGTGCACAGGTATAATGACTAAACACCCGTGGAAGGAATTTGTAAGTTTTGAGTGAAGTCTAGATTCATGAGATATGGGCACATTTTTTTTTATATTATTATTATTATTATTATTATTATTATTATTATTATTATTACTTATCCTGATCTATGAATACTCTTAAAACAATAGAGTTTCTACATATGAAGGAGGAAAGATGTGTTCTTTTGCAAGATGATTGAAACACAAGGAACATCACAACAAATTAACGTTTTAGAAAACAAATTTATGGACAAAATCATTTTTATAGACGAAATATTTTAATTATCAAAAGTGTCATTATTGAATTTTTAGTGAGAAAATTTAACATTTAGTGATGGATTACTATCCTTTTATGATTAAAATTTTTCTCTCAAAAATTAAACTTTTTTGGCACCAAATTATTTCGTTCATAAAAGTGCATTTATTGGCAACATTTTCAAAATTGTCGCTAAATTTTTTTTTTTTTACATATTGGGGGGACTTTTTAGAGATGACCCTTGCGACAATAAGAATTATTCTCCAAATATGTTTTGCTACAAAATTTTTACTTGTTAAACCCAAAAAAATTGATTTCTAAAATCTTCATATGTCGTAGTAAAATCTAGTGAGGCCTCATCATTTTGTGCTACAAATCAGCTTTAACATATATGTTTGATCAAACTATTAGATGATATGGCAAATCAAAAATACATAAATCTCAAGACATAATCTAATAATTAAAAGTGTACTAGGATATGAGAACAGCGATTTTGAGATAAAGGATTCCATGTTAGTGATTCTTTATTTATCTATTTATTTATACTAGTGGTTTGGCAAATGTGCACTTGCCACCCACATTGCCCATCGGATTATTACTTGATATTTTCATTATTACTGAAAAATCTAAAAATTCCTTAAATATTGATTTGTAATCACGTATTAATTTTAACCAGCAAATAGCAATCCCAATCAAACAATCAAAGACAAATCGACACAATGATTTTACGTGGACAAACCACAATTGGAATGCCTCCAATTGTGATATAAAAAAAAAAGAGCAAAAATCACAAAACAATCTACTAAAAAGACATAAAAGAATTACAAAGTGTACTCTCAATTACATAGTGAATCCACGTCCGAATCGAACTAACCCCTATGTGCCTCTTCCAGGCCTATCTTCACCTCAAAATCATCTTGCCCAATATTGAATCCATAACACCGATGTTGAATCCACGATGATGAACCACTCCATAATCCACCAAAGCTTCAGGTCCAAATTCCAGGGAATCCACCGAAGAACAAATCTCGCTTTTGTGAATAAAACAAGATAAACAAACCCTTTGATATAATCCACTCAATTCATGATATAAACTCTCACAAATATCACAGGAAACAAGCAAAGAAGTTCCATATGAAAACCTTAATACCCAAGAAGAAGATCTAAAAGCCATAACCCTAAAATCTGATAGAACCACATATTTATAGAAAACAGATCCGCGATCTCCACTCGAACGGAGTGACTAAAAGGCATATGACTAAACATGGTCTACACTTGAGCGCAGGAATGGCCACTTGAGCTGAAAAAAACAACTTCCAGTACTTTTGCAGGCGAGTGAAACTTCTGAAAAGTCGCGATCTCCGCTCGAGTGCAAAAACAACTTCAACTGCAATTTTTCATTTTACTTCGGAGGCGCTACCCTTCGACCCCACCTGGGCACCAGGCGCTACCCGCGACCCGCCAAGGGGCGTTGCCCCCTTGACCCCCGCGAGCTGACCGGGCAGCTCAATCCCCAACATAGTCAGCAAAATGGCAAACATGAAAGAATTAACTTCAGAAACATCTATGCAAGGCACAATTCAGGTTGGATTTGCATCTAAAAACTCATAACCTCACTGAAATAAAAGTTGAATAAAATTACAACTGAAAGGAGTTTTGTCAAATGAGATTACCAATAACAAAAACCTAACAATCTCCCCATTTGGCAATGCCGTGACAAAATACAACTAACAAATAAAATCCTAATCATTCCAACCCATTACAGCCTGCAAAAGCAAACTTTTTTCTCAAAGTCATGATCTTCAAAATAGCTATTAGTGCCACAATCTCCAAAACCCATTACAGCCAACAAAAACAAACTTCTTTCTCGAAGTCATGATCTGCAAAATAGCTATTAGTGCCACAATCTCTAAAACAACTATTAGTGCCACAAGAGTATATGAAAAAGCAATAGACATATGACCAGATTATCTTAAAGCATAAGATGGAAATATGAATAGATGTAACTTGGAGATTTTTAGAGCATGTAGCATGAATAGATAACAATCTTAAGAAACATGCAAACACGCTCAAAAATCATTTTGATTTTGACTAAAACTTCTCCCCCCTTTTTGTCATGAATTGTCGAAGGAAGCTCAATCAATGAAAATAAGAGCATAAACCACACAAGCCAGGACGAGATGATGTTGATGATGTAAAAATTAAGAACTTGCGAGAAGTAAGCAATAAACAAGCAGTGGACAGCTACATACAAACCAACTATAATGCTAACCTCCCTTACCAAACCAATCGATTTAAGTTCATGCTAAAAAAAAAACCCTTGCAATGATAGACCAAACTCCCTCTCACTAAAAGCAACCACAAACACTGAAAACATTGAACAAGAAGAAAAAAAGACAAAATAATATGGTGGAGCAAGTAAGGAATTTCAGATTTGTGCCTTAAGCCATATAAGATTATCCAATAAACACAATTACTTGAAAGCACAATGCACAGCCTCTAGAAGATTCCTCATAAATCCCATGATAAAAGCATAGATCTGAAAGTGTGAAAAGCATAGATCCCATGATAAAAGTGTGTGTGTGACTCTTGGAGTTCGACAAACACTAGATTCAAAATCCTAGAAGTGATCTGAAAGCTGGACTTTCGGCAAGAGAATCTAAGCACAACTAAGGAAAGTCAAACCACTAGGAATCAAAGAGTATTTGTTGAGTAAAAACAGAGGCTCTCTCTCAATCAATGAATCTTTTTTTTCTTTCTTTCTTTTTAACATTTTTTTTGCATTCTTTTGCACATTTTTTTCCTTTCTTTTGCACACTCATTGGCAGGTTTCAAGCTCAAAAGTATGGAAAAAGAACCAGAGAAGCATAGATACAATAAGGATAGCCTGGTTGGTGACTCTAAGGTAGCCTTTTCCTCATGGCTGGACAACAAAGAACAGAGGGGAAAGCCGTGGAGATGCAAAAAGATGGAAGGTAGTTAAGAGACTCAACATCACCCATGATGTGCTAGTATAGGTCAATTCTTCTAGAAAAGCAAAAGATGCAATGCTAGAAGTCTATAGAGAAAAATGATCACTAAGGCAGAAGACTCCGATATTTGCTAATCCAAGAGTGTGTGCAGAATGAGACATACTAATCAAAGAATACACACTCTGAAATGAGTAATGACCAGAGAAAGCACACACACATTAACATGTAATAGATATTCTCATCAATTCCAATATGCATCTCAAAAATTACAAGCTTGCAAAACCATACAAAGAAAATCTTTTCGGATTTTTTTTTTCCTTTCAAAGCAAGACAGAAAATGAACAAACAACCACAAAACGATCCAAAAAAAAAAAAAAAAAAAAACAAACAAACAAAACCAACAGCCAAAAAGAAAAAAAAAATGAATAAGCAAATTAACACAAGCCAAGTTTTTTCACCCAAACTGCTTTAGTATGAACAA